TTTTTTTTTGTAAATTTTTCTGCATATTAAATGAAAATTCCTTCTTTTAATTATTATTATTATCATTATCATTATCATTATTATTATTATTAATGATATTACATAAACGGTAACTTCGAAATCGAAATGATGGAAAAAAAAATCATGGGAAAAATAGAAGAAAAATAAAAAAAAGTCTCAGGATTAGAAACGTGAGAAAAAAAAAAATTACCAATTAAAACTGAATTAATGAAATAAGTGTAAAAAAGAAAAAAAAAAACGCACGCGCGCGTACATACACGCACGCACGTACAAACGCATGGATTTAAATGTTAGTAGACGTTGTTGTTGTTGTTTGTCGGTTAATAATTTCATCGATATTTTAATGACGTAATCCGATTACCAACAACAACAGTTGTTGATTTTTTTTTTAAATTTTTGTGATGATAAATTTACTTTCAAAAAAAAAAACGCGCGCGTAACGTATAACGCAATAAAACGCGCGAGATTAAATTTTTTGAGACACTCAAAACGTGTTTAAAAAAATTAGAAAAACGTTTGTCGTGATTATAATAATTATTATTATGTAAAAAATAAATAAATAAATAAATTTTTTTGATGATAAAAAAAACGCTATAAAAAAAAATAACGCAACAAAAGATTAGGCAATTTATAGCGAAAAAAAAAAAAATAACAATAAAATTTTGTCAACAATCGATTGTAAACAAACACACAACCGGAAAAAAATTTCTCAATCGAAAAATTAAATTAATTTTCTTTTCGTTTCTTTTTAGGTTTTTTTAATTTTTTCTTGTCTGATCGCATCTTCGTTATGTTTGCCACAAACTGGTTTTGGTAACCAACAATCGCAACAACCAAAATCTAGAAGATTCGATAGCCCGCAAAATCGTTTCGATCAAAAGAGAGATCAATCGGGGTAATTATTAAATTATTGTTTTTTAATAACGTTTAACTTTTGCAAAAATAATTATTTACAATTAATAAACAACCGAAAATTATTTCTTCGTTTGTTTGTTCCTACAAACAAATTGCTAGTTAATTAGTCACGTTTAATTTAAATTATTAATTAATAATCGGAGAAAATAATAACAACCGGATTATTTCGTTTGGGTGCGAAGGGAATCCCGTTTGTTTAATAATTATTTTTTTTTTTTTGAGGGAGGAACAAATTGCATTGTTTGTACCGTTTGTTGTTAACAAACGCGTGAAAAAAAAAAAAATTTTTTTATGACGTGTTGACCTCGGGGGTCTCGTCGGTTGCCATTTTTATTAACTTTTATTTTCAACTAAAAAAATTTTCTTTTTTTTTTACTTTTACTTTCGCAACTTTTTTTTTTTTCTTTTAATTGTTTACACCGAATCGTCTTCTGATTATTATCATCATCATCATCATTATTATGATTTTCGTGTGTGTGTGTCGTCCCAGATAATCAACATTTGACTTAATTACTTTTCATTTTGTTTTTTTTTTTACGACTTCATTGTCACTTTTGTTGTTGTTGTGTAATTTTGCGAACAATTATAAAAAAATTATTATTTCAATGACGTTTACCCCTCCCCACTTTACTCCCCTCTTCTTCCTTCTTTTCGACGAATAGAATACAAATATCATTCGATACCTCGAAGGTATTATCGTGAAAAAACCAAAAACAACTTCTTGAGCCTCGGGAATAAAAATTTAAAAAAACCGGAATAACCTATGTCAAGGTTTGCTTCCCTCTTCTCACCTCCTCTCACCTACCTCCCCGCTATTTCATTAATTAAAAAAAAATAAGTGCGTGGATGATTCGTCGTGATATTTTTTTTTCTGCCTTATCAAACGATCGATTGTGATAATACGCGGTTGAGTAATAAAATAAATTGCTATTTATAAGGAAAAAAGAAAGCAAAATGGAGAGAGAGAGAGAGAGAGAGAGAGAGAGAGAGAGAAAAAGAATGAAAACTGGTTTAATATTATTATTATTATTAAAAGAGATGATGACGATGATGATAATAATACTAATAATATCTTACGTTATGGTGAACTGATTACTAAATAACTACTCGTTTCATATGAATCATTTTTTTTATTTAAGTCAATGAGAAAACGATCGTTTCCGGATGTTCGATTTATTTATTGAAAATTTTTTATTTTTCAGTTTCGACCAACAATCGGACGACAATCAAGATTACGACGGACAAGGATTTAACAGTCAACCATTTGGCGGTTCTTCTTTTTCAAATAACGATCAATTTTCAAGAAACGATGGCGGTGCAAAATCAAGCGGAAGAAGTTCGACGAATTCAAATTTCAGAGCGGAAGCTACGACTTTTATTCCCATAATAAGATTCGATAAAGAACAAACGTTAGACGGAAGTTACAAAACGAGGTTACATAGTCTCCACTTAAAAAAAAAAAAGAAGAAGAAATTTACGAACGATTCATTTACGAATAATTGTATTTTTTTTTGTATAGCTGGGAAACCGGAAATAACATCATAGCAGAAGAAACTGGAGTTTTAAAAACATTCGGTGGTGAAAATACGGATGCAGTAGTACAACAAGGTTCTTTTAGTTACACCAGCCCCGATGGTACTTTGATCACCGTTCAATATACCGCCGACGAACAAGGTTTTAGAGCCAGCGGTGATCATTTACCAACACCACCACCGATTCCGGAAGAAATTCAAAAAGGTTTGGATATAATCTACGCTGGAATAAGAGAACAGGTTTGTTACAAACAAACAAACAAACAAAAAGTAAAAAAAAAATATTTCTTAAAAGCCAAATTAAAATTTAAAAAAATTTTTTCCCATTATTATTATTAATAACGATTATTTTAGATTTTTTTTAAAAACGACCATTAATGGCTTTTGAATGAATTTAAAAAGTAATAATAATAATAATAATAATAATAATAATAATAATAATAATAAAGGAATACACCCATTAATATAATTTCATAATGCGTTTGTAAAAAAAAAAATTTTTTTTATAAAACTGCATTAACCTCGGTTTTTATAAAAAAAAAAAAAAACTCGTGCACGTGAATATCAACCCTAAAATGTGGCAATTAAAAAAATTATTACGTAATAATTATTATTTTATTGAGTAATAAAGAGTAATAAAATTTAAATTAAATTTTAGGAACAGCAACAACAAAGAGAGGGTAAATCGCAATCGTTTCAAGGAAGCAACGGAAGCGGAAACAATGGAAATAATGGAAACAATCAACAATATCAAAGCCCGACGGGAAGCGGTAACGATGATCAATTTCCGTTCTTCAGTAATCCGACACCCCAACAACGTCCGTTTCAACAACCGTCTTTTCAAAACGAACCCGCTAGCAATGAAGATTTTACCGGAGCCGGAAGTAATATAAATTTTAGAAATTCCGGAGAAAGATTAAGTCCTTTGAAAAAAAATGAATTGAGACAAGGACCGAGATTCAGACAGTAAAAAAAAAATAAGGGAAGGGAATTTTTTTTTTTTAAATATGGGGAGACGCACACACACACACACGTCATGAGAGACAACAACAACAACAGACTGTAAGGAAGCTACCTATGAAGCATCGTCTGCTAACTAACTGAAAAACTTTCACTTGAACTAATTAACGCGCATTAATTAGCAACGTTTTTAAATACGTAATCGATTCGTGTACATACGCGTGACTTAAAAACTTTTTTTTTTTTTTTGTTTATGTGAAATTTTTTTTGTTTTTTTTTACATAATTTACTTCAATATAAATATAATAATATATATTATATATTAAAATTTTATTTTTCTAAATTATTCCCACAAAAATTAAGAAAATTGTTTAAAACAAATTTATTGAATTACCAAAACAATAACAACAACAAAAAGAAAAATTCCCAAAGTATAAATACCACGAGAGCGTTTTTTAATTAATTAAATTAAAACTTTTACCCTAAATTATATTATTATTATTATTATTATTATTATTATTATTTATTTATTTATTAATAAAAATTAAAACCTAAACATAAACAAATCTTTATAAACATAAATTGTTTGTTGACAAAAAAAAATCATAGGAATTAATTCGTTTAATGTTTCCCATTTGTTCGTCAACGTTTTTATTATAATGTCATAAAAATTTTAAAGGAAGTATTATGGTAATGATGATAATAATAATAAATAAATTATTACTTACTATTACCACCGATTTATTACGCGGTAATAAATTTAAAAAAAATACGTAAAAAACAAAACAAACGCCTTGAAAATAGTGAATAAGCAACACACAAAATACGTTAAAGAAGTTTTTAAATAAATTTTCATTTAAATCCCGATAGATGTCGGTAACTCACACAATAACAAAAAAGTTTAAAAATTATGAATTCCCTGGATTTAAATAATTTTTTTTTCTTTTCCTCCCCGTAATTTTATTACCGTAATAATAATTTTCGATATTAATACTGTTGTCGAGAGTATGATACATACGATGTATAATAATAATAAAAACAAGGGAACAACACGCACACACGCACACACACATGGAAAATACCAAATCTCATTAAAATAATAAATTAATAATAAAATCAAACACGTATTTCATTTTTTTTTTATTATTAAATTATTTTTTTGAAAAATTGAATAAAGAGAGAGAGAGAGAATTGTTTTAACGTTTGGCAATGACACGACAACCCGAACGTTTTATTATTAAACTACCACCATATTCAATAATTATACGGGTGAGTGAAGGCCGAAACAAAACGATTTAAGTAGTTTAATCAACTTAAAAAAAAATGGACTTTGATAGGAATGGATGAATCCTCCTAAAAAATAATCCAAAAAAAAAAAAAAACAAATTATCGTAAACGTCCTTAATATTTAACTATGCATAAAATAAAAAACACTTACTTAAACCCATATCAATACAAAATAATGATAATAATAATAATAATAATAATAATTAAATTTTTTTTTATAAATAAGTAAAATAAGTAAAATCGATATTAAAAAAAAAAATTAAAGGGAAAAATTTCCATTATTAAAAATCCATTAAAATGTTTTTTTTCTTTATTATTATCATTATTATTATCATCATCATCACGTGAAGCAGAATATATACGCATGAAAACAATAAAAAATATATTACCCGACCAATCGTTAAATCGACACTTAAAATTATTAAATTACAATTTTTGTCATCATTTCCTTCCCCTACCCCCCTCACCAACATTTAATTAAATAACTAAAAATTATCATCATTATTATTAGCATCTATTAAACAATAACAAATACATAAATAAATAAATAATTTTTTATTACGTAATGTAATTTTTTAATTTCGTAACGAGAAGGGAAGAAAAAACGAAAAAATTTCAACCGCTCGGTACCTGACAAAAAAATTATTATTATCATTATTATTGTTTTAAAAAATAGACATTGAGTAAAAACAATAATAATGATGATTATAATGGCGGGGGGGGGTTAACATGCTTCAATAAAAATTCAATCAAAATTTTTCGAAAAAAGTTCAAAGAAATTATCGATAATGATTTGAAAACGTGATCGACCCATTCGAATGTATTTAAATTTTGCGCTTAATAATAAAAGTTTGTTTTCAAAAAAACAATCGGAAAAGTATAATTAAACGTTTGTTTGTTGTTGTTTGTTTTATACAACAACAAAAAAAATTACGAAGATGTTAGTTATAGGTTATGTACCCATTTATCCGATACATAAACAACCACAACCTTGACAATCCTTTGGATAAATGTTGAAATTAAATAAAAACAAACGCGGACGCATCGGGATTTTTCTTTTTTACCCTCCCCCTTTCTCCCACCTCCCCCCTCTCTCTCCTTTTTTTTTATTGTTGTGTTTGTTATTGCAAAACAACAACAAAACGAATAATTGTTTTTAAAACTATCGGGAGTAAAATTTTATGATGTGCATATCGTGTAAGCCGCATATATTTTTCAATTACATCATCGTATAAGTTAGATAATTTTTTTTTTTTTATTAACCTTAAACGCCGCCTTCGTTTTTCACATACTGACAATTCAGTACTTAGTAACGTGATTCTACTGCCACGATGAAATTTTTTTTTTTAATAAAATAATAACAATGATATGTGGTAATGGTATCACAATGAGTGAGTGAGTGAGTTGTTTGTTCGTTATATACAACTCGAGCGAAAGTTTTCCCTTTTCATTTTTAAATTAAAACTAGTACGCACGCGCACGCATATACGCACACACGCATTATAAAATTATTAATAAAAAAAAAAACGCGCGTAAAATTTAAAAAACAAAAATTTTTGTTTGCTTTTTCCGCCGGGTAAATTAATTTTTTCTCAGATTTTTTTTTTTTTTTTTTTTTTCATAAAATTAATATACGTAATAAATTTAAAATTTATATGGCAAATTGTTTATAATAAATTACGTAATAATTACAAACCCATAAATTTATTTATCGGATAAACAAACAAATAAAAAAAAAAATCATCGTTGTCGTCGTCGCCGTCGTGAGGTTAATCTTATGATTTATAATAATCGCCAAAAAAAAAAAAAAAAAAAAAAAAAATTTGACAATTACCACATCAATAATTTTTATTACCGACATTTAATAATAATAATAATAATAATAATAAACTATTATTACCATCTATGATTTCCGTGTTTTTATTACTCTATGATCGTTTTTTTTAAAAATAAATTTCCAACCCGTTTTTATTATTTATTATTAATAAAAATAAAATAAAAAAGTTTTAATTAACAAACGTAATTTTTTTTTTCTTTTTTTTACCGGTAATTAATTCCGGTGGGAAGGAGAGGGGGAGGGAGGGGAGAGAGGTGTAAGAAAAAGGTTTTTCTTTCAGGTTTCTCTTTTTTCCTTTTCAACAAAAAAAAAAAAAAAAATTAACAAACGAAGAATATTCAAAACTCGAAGACCCTGACCCAAAGTGGAAAAAAAAAAAAAAAAAAAATTTATTAAAAAAAAACCGACGTAAAAAGGTTTTTCATCATCGTCATCATCATCATCATAATCATTATTATTATTATTATTATTAATAATTTTTTTTTTAATAAATAATTATCGATAATTGTTAATTTCATCTTGTAATAAAAACGGAAAAAAGATTTTGTAAATTTTATTTAAAAAAAAATAAAGTTGCGAAAGCGTAAAAAAATTATAATTAACCGTTTGACAATACTTTAATAATAATAATAATAATAATAATAATAATAATAATAATAATAATAATAATAATAATAATAATAATAATAATAATAATAAACGTTCGTAATGTGGAAAATCGTACGAAAAAATTATTATTAAAACAATCTATTGACACTTTTAATAATGTTTATTATTTTACCATATCTTATTGTTATTTACACGAACTCTAATTAAAAAGAAAGAAAAAAATTATTTACGTAACTTTTCTTTACGCTTTAATAATTTATCATTATTATCGCGATTAAAAAATATTATTATTATTATTATTAATAATTAATAAATCAAATTGAAAATTCTTATCGGAGAAAATAAAAATAAAAACGGGATTTTGTCGTCAAAAATAATAAAAATGGCGACGACGTGATTTTTTTGGTTTATTTATTATGTTGTAAAATTACCTTTAAAAAAATTGTTGTTTTGTGTTTTAATTATATCCGTTATTCATAATATAAATAAATAAATAAATATTAATAATAATAATAATAATGATGATAATGATAAAAATGCTGAACACGACAATGTTTTGCTAAGGTAAGCAAGTTTTGACTTTTACAACAACAACAACAACAAAAAAGCGCACGCGGCGGATAATTTTTTTTTTTTTAAATATCAAACAAGAAAATTTTTTTTTTGTTTGGTTGCTTTGTGTAAAACTGTCGGTACCCCCCCCCCGAATGAACCCGATTCCAGAATATTATTTTCCATAGTAAAAATTGACTGGAGTGCCGATTGCAAGCAATTTCCGTTTGGTAAAGTGACGGGTATGTGTAAAATCGTGAGGAGTAAAAAAGAAGAAGAAGAAGAAAAAAAAACCTTGTCAAGGTTGAGTTAAAGATTGCGGATCTTATGATGGATTTTATCATCATCATCATCATCATCATCATCATCTGCTGGAGAAAAAAGAAAGCTTGTGTGTGTGTATCGATGATTTTTTTTTAAAGGTGGCACGATGCCTCAGGGTACGAAATACGATAGTACGCCATTAATAAAAAAACTCCTCTCTAAATTAAAAAAAAAAAGATTTTTTGTACTGATATAAAAGTGTAATTTTTGTTTTTACCACCACCAGCACCACCACCACCACCATCACTACTGCCACGATTATTTTTCTTTTTTTAGTCGGATTCAACGAGATTTCCTTGGCACCAGAGAGAACATCGGAAACGTGAAGTTAGGGTCAGGCACGACGAGAGTTTTTTTTTTGTTTTACCTTTTGGGCTTTTAAATTTCAAATAATAAGGAAA